TATACGTGATTTTTGTCAAAAGGCGGTGTGGTGCATTCAGCATGAGATGGAGATCCATTCGTTTGCTCCGGTGCAGACAAGCGACCCGCAACAGCAGAGCTGAAACACAGGCAACCCGAGTCAAGAATCCTTTCGCTGCCGAGGTACCCTCCTTCACGTCTTGATGCTTTGTCGTCCGCAGCCTCGAGGTCAAGGTTTAATTAGATAGACCCTTCGGGTTTCGACGTAGAGCTTTCATCGGCCCTACTGTACTGTCAAGCCTTTACTTGTCATCATCCTCCAGTTGCTGTTCAGAGCTGTCTCAGATCTTCGTTCTCACTTGTGATGGCTATCGTGCGAGCTGTACGTGGAAAAGGTGCGGATCTTGATGATAGTAGCAATATTCATTCTGGAGATGAGCCGAGCAGGACAGCAGAATCGAATTTGGTAGCGGAGCTGGCTGGTCATCCAGCTGGCTCCAGAAGCTACCTTTGGGTTCGTGTTCTTGGACTCCTTCTGATCGCTATCACGGTCTTCCTTTGTGAGACGTTGAGGTGGGATCATGGCAGCGTGAAGATATGGGAGGTCATGAACACGACGCTCGAGCCCAATGCTACCCTGCCTGCTTTGCGGACTTCGAATTCGGAATTCGATGGAATCATCGATGAGAGAGCGACAATCAACACATTGAGCGAAATGAGTTCTTTTCTGACAGACCTTGAACGGATTGTCAACGGATCAGTGCTTGAGTTCTTGGAACGTAAGCTGAACGACGATTCAGTGTTGAACGGCGTTCTGCACGAAGGTGCCACAACCTTTGTGCGGGACGGCGGCGGAGCGCTAATTCCTGAACGGGCAAGCAATTGGTCAGGTACTACGAACTCGTCACGACGCTTTAACTTCACGTGGCACCACTACGAGTCCTTGGTGCGACCCCTCGGCGCTTTCAGACGATTACAGGATAAGAATCTGCATAAGCGACGATGGACGTGGAGTGGAGCTAAAACCGGACTCGGACGCGCGTTTGGCGGGCGACGATTGTGGATGCTGGAGTTTGCAGCCTGCGTTTTACTTGCTGTTGGGATCGTCGCAAGCATGGTCCCAGGTGGCTTTAGAGACGCTGGCGGCTACAGAGATGCGGGCCCCAGACAACATGCACATGTTGGAGATGCGGGCCCTCCATTTCTAGGGACCGCCACGTTGAAAGTTCCCCCAGCGTGGTCGATTGAGCGCGCTGCGCACTACAGTCTTCGCTCTTGGATCTCAGACCTCATCCTTTGGAGCTCGGCGACGGACTTGGAAGCTCATCGACTTGGACCGGTGGCGGCGCTACAGGTGACTGGCAGTGCCAAAGAGCTTGTCAGGGAATTAGCTCCGGATCATCTCGCAAACGGGATACACGATCCTCAGACGGGACAGCATATAACTGGACTAATGCTTCTAGTCAGAACGTTGGCCACCCGGTATGCCCCACTAGATCAAGAAGCCAGCACCAAAGCTGTAGGAGAGTTTCTGAATTTCTCTAAACTCCCCAATGAAGCTGTAGATGCCCTGCTTGTGCGCTTCGATGTGCTGAGAAACCGCGCCGCACAGCGCGGAGGACTGGCATTGAATGCTTCAGGCATGGCGTGGATCCTTCTCAGAGCTTTGAACCTTCCTGCTGAACTGTTGGACCGCTTGCTTGCCCAGACGGGCGGGCAGCTTCCTGTCAACGAGGGTGAGCTTGTTGAGCTGATGGGTCGCATCAGGCGGCAAGGTCATCTCTTTGAGCAGGGATTCAAATCCAGCTTCAAGCAAGGTGGTACTGGTGATCCTGGCGCGTACTTTTACCCAACGTTCGCAGGTGCTGAGCAAGAACCTGGAATGCCGAGTTCCGCATATGGCACGCCCTACCCCGGTAATCCATTAGGCGGTTGCAATCCAACTGGTTTTAGTGCTGGGCCCGCTGTTGATGCTAGCTCCTGGAACGCCTGCAATAGCAGCACTCCCTGTCATCATCCTCCTAGATTTGGAACGTATCACTCGCAGGATGAGGAGCAGTGTCCCACTTGTGGCATGTACTACGCTGATGATGACATAAGTTCCTGTACTTCCAGTGAAGACGGTGAGACGGGTTCTGAGGTGTATGCTGCTGTTAATGTTGGAGGTGAAACCTTGGGGGATGAAGCTTCAATCGGAGCCGAGTTGTTTCATTTGTACAAGATGGCCAAACGCAAGTGGCGAAGATTTTCGGGGCGACCCCCAAGGCGTTACCGTAAGTTCAGCTACAAGCCCAAGGATGCTACCCGACTGCAGCGCACGCCGTACTCCAAGTCGTATGCGTCATTCCTTCCTGCATCAAGCTTTGCCGGAGGGAAGGGACATGGCGGCAAGGGCAAAAGTAAGGGGCGCACCAACCCACGAGGGAAGGACGGGAAGGTGCTTCGGTGCAACAAATGCAATTCTGACCAGCATTTGTGGCGTCAGTGCCCGCTGCTTGCATCTCAGTCTCAGAACCACCTTGTGACTGCGCAGCCTCCTGCCCTTACGCTTCATTCAACGCCTGCTCCCAACACTGGTGAATCCAATCCTGCTTCATCATCGCACGGCGCAAGGTCGCTTCCTGGAGTTACGTTTTCCTCTCATTTTGTGTCTGCAGTGAGTAATCCTTCCCGCACTGGGGTGGATGTGGAGCTTGACATGCTTTCACAGGTGTCAGCTGCAAGTGGGAGGAACAAACGACGTGCGGATGAGATGCGACAGGGCAGCTCATGTCAAGATCGACCGCCTGCCTGGGAGCCTGGACGACCGTCCAGCTGGTCTTCACAGGTGGGGCCAGATGACAGTGTGAGCCAAACAGGTTCCGTAGCAGCAGGAGTGCAGAC